GGCTTCCCCCTTGACTGCTTGTCAGAAGGTCAAGGCAAAAGGTGATCACATGACACACAAACACACCCCGGACATCGCAATCATCATAAATATGAACCAGTTCTCAAACATCTGAATTTTGATCACAAGCTCATAGGGAGATTTTCAAAGGTTGTAATTTTGAAAAATAGTCATAAGCAATGGTGAAATTCATTTTTTTTACTACTGGTTCTGTGGGCGTGGCTTGGTGGGCGTGGCAGGAGAAGGATACTGCAAAATCTCCATTCCCAACCCACTCTGGGGCCAGCCAGAGGAGGCATTTGCCGGTTCTCTGAACTACTCAAAATTTCCTCTACCGGTTCTCCAGAACCTGTCAGAACCTGCTGAATTTCACCCCTGGTCATAAGTCTCATTTTTCAGTGCCGTTATAACTTTGAATGGTCACTAAATGAACTGATGTAAGCCGAGAACTACCTGTAATCAACCATTCTCATCTGGTAAAGATATGCATGAAAAGTTCTGAGGCAAGGATAAAAGGGATAGATTTGGATTTCTATTAATTATGCCTCGAAAGGAGGGGAGAGCAACAGGAACAGAAAAGGCCTGGGGTATTAACAGGAGAGATTAAATAGTCCAAAGAGGGGTTCTGTGGCTATAGACACAGTTGCTTACACAACCCCACTAAAAATCCTGAAGTGATGTTTTAAGGTTTGCACTTCACAGTGCCAAATAACAGCTTCCCTCATCTCACTTCCCTCTCTCATTTCTCCCTTACCTCATACTGCCTGACACGATACCATTTCCTTCTGCTATGAAATCTTGTTCTCGGGAATACATATTTAAAAAGCAACTATTTTTAAATGCAGAACCTGTTAGCTGTAATTGAATAGTCTTAGTAAGGATGGCAATTCTATCTTGGGAAGCCATGCATGAAAAATTTCTATATTCTCTGTTCCCTGTGAAGAATGACTCACTATCTTTGAACAGTGCTGAAAGGTAGGAATTCAATGGGAGAAGCTGTTCCAGAAAAACAGAAAGCTATGTCTGCCTATCCATAAGTAGGAACATCTTACAGCGCTGCCAACAACAACAGAAAAAGATTAGTCTGTTGGTGCCCTAGCTGGTGCAGTGAATAAGGAAGATGACCTTGGTGGAGATACAATATGCAGGAATTGTTACGTAGGCAAAAGGGGCTGAAATATTTTCTCAAGTCCAGAGTAACCGTATCTTATTTGGTAATAGCTCAAACAAAGACCTCCCTAATTCACTGAACTAAAGGAGGAGGAGGAGGAGGTCAGCACAATCAGAGTTGCAAGTTTCTGTTATTATAGCCAATAGCAATAGTAGCACTTTTAGCCTTCCTGGGAAGTTAATTTTCTGGCCTGGTTCTCCTTGGTAGGGCTGACATCTGGGTAGATTGCATAGTTTTCAACTTTATAATAATTATCAGAGTAGTACTTGCACTCTTGGTTCCCCTCCTGGTTCCCTTGAAACTTATTTAGATCAAGGGTCCCCAACCTCTGGCCCATGGCCCACTACCGGCCCATGGCCTTTTCGGAACTGGGCTGCATGAATGGTTGGCTGGCACGCATGTACACTCACACGCGCACACACAGCTCAACTTGCATGAGTGGCGGGCCAGTGCACATGTACAAGTGCACACAACTCAACTTGCGCAGGTTGAACTGCATTCACATGTGCATGCCTGTTGGCCTATTGCTCGTTGAGCTGTATGCATTTGTGTGACAACAACCAGCCACTTTGGCGGCCTGGTCACACACCCTCCTCTGCTGGGCTGCCAAGCCACAAAAGTTGGAGATTGCTGGTTTATATGGTTTCTGCTTCTTACCTATTCTGAACCCGTTCCCTAACATTTTCCTTCCCTAATTGTTGCCAACTTTAGGGGCAGTGCTCATCTCTGTTTCAAGGCCATTGAGCCTGTCTGAAGGCATTTCCATGTTCATGTGGCCAACATGACATCATAGAGGCTGTTATTTTCCCACCAAAGTGGTACCTATTTATCTACTAGCATTTGCATGCTTTCGAACTGCTAGGCAGCAACTGGTGTGAGCACAGGAGCTCACCCCATCACATGGTGCTTAGGTCTTGAACCCAGGCTGCCAACTTTCCCACTGACAAGCCCAGAGTCTTAACCAATGAGCCATAGTGTCACTCCATTTTTGGAATGCAAAGTATATATTACTTTGTATGTGCATATGCAGTTCTTGTAAAATAAGAATAACTTTAAGGAATGCATGCTTAAAGATGTTTCTTTCCTGTTCCATCCACATTGTTTTTCCTCTGTTCCAAATTATAAGCAGGGCTCTAGCATAATCACCAGATTTAAATTGCTTTGAGAGACCTTCAAGTCGAAAGGAATACAATTTGTACATATTGTACTTCTTGCCATATCTTTGTGGCCTCAGAGAGAGAGAGTGCAAACTTTTTAATCAAGAGCCTGTCCTTCCAATGTCTTTCTATAACATCAGATTTAAGCACAATAGGGGCCTAGTGTCATTCTCCATATTTAGGTCACATGGAAGACCACGACTAAGGCTTTTTGGTGTCAATGGAGGTGGTGTGGTAGTGCAATTTCTTCATCAGACTCAGTCTGTGGACAAGAGCCTTGAGAGACCTCCACCAGCTTCCCATTTCCACAACTTCACTCCCAAGCTTGTTATCAAGGAAGAGCTTGGTTCCCAATGCTTGGATTTCCTTAATTCTCTGGGGCCCAAAGTAATAGAGACAGTGCTGGTATTCAGCCGGTCCGGACTGATTCGAGCAAACCAGTAGTGGCAACCTATGGATGGGCCTGCTCACCCTCCCCAATGCTATGCCACCCTATTTATCCATATTTTCTAAGCCATGTGCATGTACCAAGCCGCACGCGCAAGCAAAGTGCTTGCGTGGAAGCAGTGGTGAAATTCAAAATTTTTACTACTGGTTCTGTGGGCGGGCTTGGTGGGCGTGGCAGGGGAAGGATACTGCAAAATCTCCATTCCCTCTTCACTTTGGGGCAGCTAGAGGTGGTATTTGCCACTTGTCCAAACTACTCAAAATTTCCTCTACCGGTTCTCCAGAACCTGTCAGAACCTGCTGAATTTCACCCCTGCGTGGAACGCCCTGTGCATGCTCACATTTTCAGTGCACAGTGAACGGGTGGTAAAATTATGTGAAACCCACCTCTGCATGGAGACATTTCTCTCTCTTCATTCCATACCCTACCCAATCATTACAAGGGTGCATTTTTCTCTCAAATCTTCCCTCCATCTCCCAATTGCCAAATTGTGTGGGGAACATTGGCCTTTCAGGCTTTAGTGGGTTGAATAGAAAAAAGGAAATGGATGGGAAGATTCGGCTAAAGGTCATATCCTTGAAAGCCCACATCCTCCGGCACTGAATAAAAACAAAACCTCAATGTTCTCTCCTTCTGTGGCCTCTAGTTCCTATGTCCGAGCGATTGTGCCTTGATTCAGCTTTCTATGTTGCAGTAACACTAAATAAGCTTCCTAAGTTGCAGTAGCACTAAAGAAGCACTCAGTTGCTTGCTTTCCAGGACCCATCCTTCTGCTCTTTTGTGGTCTAGAATATCCAAGCACAACTTACAGGCCAGAGTAATCTCTAAATGAACTTCCTAGTTTTGTGACTGTGCAGTGTTAAAGTTTTACTGAGCTGGGTCAAATCTAAATAAAAATACTCAGACTGAAGTTTTATAGAAAATTAAGTGTTGGCGACTTCAGCAGGCATTCTTCGTAATGAACAAATTATTAGGGCTTTACTTTACAACTAGGGCTTTAGTTTATTGCAAAGAAGAAAGGTAAATTCTGAATATGTTTAGGCAGATGCAAAAAAGGATCTCATAGAAGTAGTTGGTTTCCAGCAAGGATTCACTGAAAGAAAAATCTTCAGGGAAGAAGAGTTTAGAATAGAATAGATTAGAATAGAATAGAATTCTTTATTGGCCAAATGTGATTGGATACACAAGGAATTTATCTTTGGTGCATATGGTCTCAGTGTACATAAAAGAAAAAATACATCCGTCACGAATCATAAGGTGCAGCACTTAATGATAGTCATAGGGTACAAATAAGCAATCAAATCATACTAGGAAAAAATCAATATAAATCATAAGGATACAAGCAATAAAGTTATAGTCATACAGTCATAAGTGGCAGGAGATGGGTGATAGGAACGATGAGAAGATTAATAGTAATAGTAATGCAGCCTTAGTGAATAGTTTGACAGTGATGAGGGAATTATTTGCTTGGCATTCAGGAAAAAACTGTCCTTGTGTCTAGTTCTGGTGTGCAGCACTATATTGTTGTTTTGAGGGTAGGAGTTGAAACAATTTATGTCACAGTCCTCTTTTTGACTCATGCAGTATATAGGTCCTCAATAGAAGGCAGGTTGTTTTTTCTGCAGTTCTTTAGATCTTTAGATAGTCTGGGAAGGCAAAATGTCTGGTCAATCAGCTAATCTCTGGGAGGTGCTTGCCTGGTTGGGACATAGAGGGACATAGAAAGGAGATTTAAAATCTTGGAAAGTAATCAAGACATTATGTTTACTTCCTATGGGACTCCATTTCTTCCAAAGCTCTCAGTTGAGACCGAGGATGTTCTGGAAACATTAATAGGAGCTATGGGAATTGCTGATGGATGATGTCTTTATCTTCAAACAAAACTTTGTACAGCCTGCAATTTTTAACAGTTGTCAACCTTATATTCACAGATGTACTGTTCTCTCTCTCTCTCTCTCTCTCTCTCTCTCTCTCTCAAATTTATAAAGAGCATACCTTGAAAAATATATAGCTGTAATAAAGGTTGAAATGGAAGAAAAACCTAATGATAAAATAAGTCCTTTCTTAGTGAGTATTCATCAGAGAGGAGAATTACTACACACGTAAGAGTGATTGTAGCCAGGTCTAAATTAAATTACTTTTTGCATACTGCTCTGTATAGCAATTCTTTATTCAATACCCATTTGATTACATATTATGTTTTCATTTTAACTTCTCAGTAAAGTTAATTTATACTCCTTTGGTTGTCTGTCAGATTCATGAGTTTTCCAATAAGCTCCTCTTGGAGGAACTGAGATTAATTTTGGATCTTTTCCAAGATACAATTCATAGAAAAAATTTGGTTCGACATTATAAATTGCTGTAATATGAGCTACATACATCCCACTCAATTGTTCTTGTATAAACTGTACTCATTGAGAAGGAGAAAGGAAGGAGGAAGCTGAAAGTAACAGGCATTTAGAGCAAGATAGATAGATAGATAGATAGATAGATAGATAGATAGATAGAT